GGGTTATGGCTTTAACAATTAGTGGAAACCACATTGCGCTATTTTGTGAAGGAAAAGCAGTCCAAAGGGCAGTGTAAATAGATAAGGAAATAGGTTTTGGTGGGGGTAACTTGGAGGTTTCTAGGGTGATAGGCAGAAACACTTACCTAGTTAAACTAAACTTCTTTATGCACTTGAAAGAGCGTAAAGAAGAGGATGCTCATGTTTGTCACTAATTATAATTTATATTCTAAGTGTTCCATTCCTGCACAAATTACTTATTTCATTACAAGGGGAGGGTATTTTTCATAACTCAATCTTTCTCAACTTATTTAACTTCAGTAAATTTAACTTTAGAGTAAATCTATAGGTTTAATGATAATTTGATAGAAATTACAAGCACAACTTAAATCAACTCTACTTCTAGGCTAAAACTCATTATAGTAGGCTAGAACTTTTCTTAAGACTTTAAAGTACAGCCTTCTCTATGGGATCGACACTCTGGACTCAAATTCAATACTACTTGAATGACACGTACACTTGCGTAAAATATCTACTGTGTAGTGCTAATTTGTGGAAAAACTCGAGTTATAAAATTTCTAATACATATTTTAGAGTTAAAATATTACATTCAAAAACACTACGTACCTGATACCTTTGTCACATGCCCATCATGAATTGTGCGACAATCATATTGCCAAGGCCGACCAAGCAATATATGACAAGCGTCCATAAAAATTACAAAACATAAAACACGCTTCTTAAGTTTCCAACCGATCAAAAATGACATCATGCATTGTTGGTTGACTTTAATTTCAACTCGCTTTATGAGCCACGCAAGTTGGTAAGGAAGGAGATGAGAATGAGTAGTTAACCCAAGCTTCTCCACCACGGTTGTTGCAACTACATTCTCACAATATCCACCATAGATGATAAACCATGTCCCGAACTATGCACCAGGTTCTAAAGATGTTATGTCATAACCAATTTTTATTGGAAGATTGTTCGACACTTAGGAGACGTCATATCACAAATAATCCCCTTCATCCACATGTCAGATTTGGTCCCTCGTTAGATTAGTATCTTCTTCTTCTACCACATCTTTTTACTCTAAATCAACCTCCTCCAACAATGAAAAAAATGAATCGATTAGGATAATTCGAGGCTGTGGTTGAACTCAAGACATTTAAAGCATCGTATGTCGGATGTAGTTTTTTCCCTCGTTGTGGTAGCAGTCTCTTGCAGCTAGAAAATAGTTTTACTGTTGTTTTCAGCATTTTGACCATCAACATGTGCCTAGAAATTGACTGATTTGCTAGAAATGCCCAAATCTTTGATAGGAATGTGTATTGGGGTGTTCCTACTTAATTTCTGCTATTTTTCAACCTTCACCGCTAAGTTAATGATGTCATTTAATGTCCAGAACGGTTGGAGTTAAACCACATTAAGGATATATGGTCGTAGACCACCCAAAAAATGTATAACAATGTGTTCTTCGAGTTCAAAAGGATTGCACTAATCGAATTCAGCGATATATTTCTCCACAGACAATTCTTGTTCATGAAGGCAATGAATCCGAATGAAGACTTCATTTCGGTAATGCTCAGGTAAGAATTTCCATCTGCATCTCTTTCTTCATTTTGATCTAACGAGTGATCTTGGATCTTCCTTCTTTTTTATCGAATGTTCTTCAAAGTTTCTGACCAAAGTAAGACATTCTTCAATTTAATTGCCACTAGTTTAATGATATGTTCTTGTGACACCTCCTTGAATTTCAAAATGTGTTCAGTTGTATGTAGCCAACTGATGAACTTTTAGTGATCCAATCTTCCATCAAAACCAGAAAGGTCGATTTTGATTCCAAGATTTGGAGGTTTTTATTGGTTTTCATGCCGCAACATATGTAGAAATTATTCATTACCACTAACCTATCTCGTGATGAAATGGGTTATCTTCTTCCTCGCCGATCAGCTCATTTCCGGATTCATTTTGACGTGCTTCTAGATCTCACTGTTCAAGAAGTGTCAATCTGTTTGTAGACGAATTTTTTGTTGCATTTCTTCTACAACCAAATTTAGGGATGGACAGACATTTTTCCTAATTGGCGTCATGAATGAAAGTAGAAAGAACTACAAACAAATGTAGAGATAGAAATCTATTTGCAATTTCTGGGCTCGAATTGGAATCAAAAAGCCCAAGATGGAGGACTATCAACTTTCCATAGTTGTACCGAGGAAACCCACGGCAAGACAGCTGATAATTACAGCCATTGTAGGGAATCCAGACAACAGAGAAACACACGACAAGGCCAAATGAAACCCATGGCAATGACAAATGAAACTCAGGCAAGGATGGGGAACTTTTGTGGAGAAATACCTAGAGAGTTTGCATCAAACACGGGAAACCTGAATTGCAAACCGCAAGATAGTTATTGCAGCCATAACAATTCATAAAAATAGAAAAGAAGTGAACAGAATTCCTAAAAAGGGAGAATTCAAAAATAAATGAAAAGAAAAGGAGAAGAAATGGGGCAAAAACTCAGAGAAGGAAGAGACAAGACAGCAAGAATCGTGCTCTGATACCAAGATGATACTGAAACAAGTTAAAAATATATATATACACACTTCAGAAATTTCAAAATAGAAGAAAAGCTTGAACCAAAAATGCATTAACTGAAATGAAAAATGGGTTGATCGCCACCTAAGTGTCATTTCAGGATACTAAATACACTTCTTAAACGGGAAGGATATGGAAAATATTATTACAACCACTCCAAAGCTCTGCATCTCCAGCCCACACAAAATAGTCTATTTATAAATGCTACTCTCTTAAATACAAGTATGTCATTCTAAAACATAGAGACATAATAACAAACTAAAACACACGAACCAAGACATATAAATTGAAATAAAACTATAGCTCCCGCATTAGCCCATGCATGGAAATGTATATTTCACATTAAAAGGTGATAATAATGTTATTTTTCATGTGATATAAATAATTTGAGTTCTACGTGTAAATATGAAATTTTAGGCTTTCGGAGTGTAAATGCATTAGAATTGTATGCTATGTTTGTAAATTCCACCTTTTTTTTAAAATTTTTGTGACGCACAAAGATTCTTATAATGAAGTAAACGAGTTGAGTAGTATTTAGTACTAGCTAACTCGAGCTTGGCTTGACTAATTCTCTAGAAAGCTCAAACTTGAGTTGAACTCATATATAAGCTTATAAACTTAGCTCATCAAACTGACAATGGGCTTAGACTTTACACGTGACCTGGAGGTCCCCAAATGTTTAAAACCCTAACAGCAATGGGAGGTGACAAAGCAAATGAGGAATTCACAACTGATGGGATCCCACTAGCATGGAGGAAAAGAAGTAAGTTGTGTTGGAAACTCGGAAAAGACATTGAAGAAAGAAATGACAATGATGAGTAAGTCATAATGAGATCTCACTTGAAAAAGAAACAACTACAATGAGAAAGTCATGATGAAAATTCACTGAAGACGCCATTGCAGTGGATGACGGTGTTCAGAGAAGAGTTTACTACGATTGTTGAGCTACTTTCACCAAATTTCTTAATTTGAGTTAAGCCTCTTCAAATGCAGGCGCCAACAAGTTTAAGGCTCTTCAAGTTCAAATTCAACCTTGCACAATATACGAGTTTGAGATGAAACTCACAATTGTATAAGCTCAACTTGTGAACTTAATGGTGAATCAAGTTTGGTGAAATTCAACTCAACACAGACCCCTATAAATATCTACATATAAATAAAAAAAAAATTTATAAGTAGTATGTGCCATGCCTAAGAAAAAAATTTACAAGGTATTAAGATCTGAATCTATTGAAATAATCTACAAAACAAATATAATTGTAGAAGTCCAAATTCTACTCAATCGGAGAAGATCGAATCATAAAGTATGAACACTACCTGAGCCTTATGTAGATGTCCAAGAGAATGTTTGAGAAGCAACGGAAGAGGGTGACGATGTTCAACATCAGTCAGTATATGTTAGCAACGGTGGCGATCAAGACATGATCATGTGACAAAACGTGTTAATTCATTTCAACATGACTTTCTCAAAAGTGCCTCTGGTTATCAAAATTGAGAAATTTTGAAATTATTCAGTTATAGAAATGTTCATTTTAACCATATGCGCACAAAATTCATATATAATCTAATCCTTCAATAATGTTATGAAATTTTCCAATATACGTCAAATCTTTAATTTAGGCTCATTTGAGCAATAAATCAACAGCACTTTTTCTGACATCAGAAAATTCATTTAATCAAACAGAAAACTTGATACAAAATTTAAATTAAAAACTTCCCAATTTAAATTTATGATCATTCATACCCCAATTTCACCAATCTTATTGCAAAGTAACTTTTTCCATGAGATGAAACAGACAACAAAATTGTTCTACAAAAATTAGCTTATTTATTGTTTCATTTTTTTTTTCTTCAATGAGATTAGTGTTTAAATTTGACCTCTTGAAATTCATCACTTTATTTACAATCAATATTTTTTATGTCCGAAAAATGTAACTCTAATGTAAAGCATGATTAACAAAATATTTATATAGTTGACTCTTGAACTCAAACTTCTTTCAGAATCTTAATTTATTAACAAAACTTTCAGAATCTCAAACCTGGCAATGATTTTTAAATTTTTTATCAATTAAACTAATTGGTGCTTCCAATAATTTTATTCCCAAAAACAAAATAACTGGAATAATTAGTATTTAAAAAAAAAAACTGTTTAATTCCATTCACTAACGATAAAAAATCCAATCGAATGAATGAATAAAACACCTTCATCACTATTAAATCTACAAATAATCATTAAAGACGTAGTCAAATCGCCTATGCTTTGAATAATAATAATAATAACAAAAAGCAGAAACCTACAAAAAAACATATTTATTCCCATGCTGAAATTTTTCTGCATTTTATTTTTTTTATTATTATTATTATTATTATTTTGTCAATACTAGCGAGAAGTACATGGGATGTACCTGAATGACATAAAAAAACTTGGCAAGCGGGTTATCATGGCTCGGGCTGCATTTTCTCACATTCATCTCTTATCGACTGGAACAGAACCGATGAAAGATAGCGCTCGCCAAAGCTCGGAAAAACAACCTATAAAGAAGCAAATAAGTAAAGCATGAAAAAAATTACAAAATGAAAATATCCATAAAATTCATTTGCAGATCAATACAACAATTGAAGGAGCCAGCAGATGAATAAAATTTTGGGACATTTACATACACACCCGCCCAATTCCCAAGTATTTACAAATCTTACACCTAAACTTTCCTTTTTACATTTATGCCACCTAAATCTTTCTTATCTTATCAAAAACACTACCATTTTCTTTAAAAAAAAATGAAATACATAGGCAAGGTGGTATGTAGATAAAAATTGAAGTTTTGGTGTATGTAAATCTTCCTAAAATGCTATGAAATTGGGAGTTAAAAGAGTGTTGAGCAATGGTTGAATGAGAGTATTAAAATGAAACTATAATTAAATCAAGGAAATATGGAGAGATGAGTATAGGAGAGACTGTTGAGCAATAGATAAAAGAGAGTATTAAGAATAAAGTGTAATAAATTAAAAGAATGTAGTGAAATTATTTATGGACTGAGAGAAATATCTGTTAAATATAGTTAAATTATAATATAAAAGGTTTAGGCATGTAGATGGGGGCTTAAAGCAGTAATCAAATTACCCTCATTGTTACCTGAAGTAAGCGTTAATGTAAATAAGTCTAGTCAGCAAGACGATGGAACTATATTAGATTGTGCTTTAGCTTGTGATTTTCTTATTGCTAATACTTTATTAAAAACAAGAGATAAGCATATCATTATTCATAAGAATAAATCTAATAAAACAAATTGATCATTTTCCTATGAGAGAATGACAACGTCGAGAATGTAAAGATTATAAGGTCATTCCATGTGAAAATTTAAGCACTCAAAATAAATTATTAATTAAAGATATTAAGATGAAGAGTTGTTAGATAAAAAATACAATAAAACTTTATCATAGAATTAGATGGGAGCAACTAAAAGATATAAATAAATTTTAATTTACGAGTAGACTTCAAAATTTTAAGATTTGGGATGTTCATAAAAAAACGAATTTAATGTGGGATAAAGTAACAAGAACTATTAAACAAGTGGCAATGAATGTATTTAGAGAATGAAAAAGAAAAATATTTATAAATAAAAATAGTTTGTGATGAAATAATAATGTGCAAGAAAAGATATAATATAAGAATTTTTATTATTAAAATTTGTTTGAATGTAAAAGCTTAGAAAACTAGAAAAAATATAAGGTGGTCTGTAAGAAATCTAAAAGAACAATTTGCGATGTCAAGAATTCTACTTTTATTGATAATTATAATAGATTTGATATTAATGAAAGTAAAAGATATATGTATAAACTAGTCAAATAAAGAGGGAAAAAAATAAAAATTTAATTTAAGTAAAGTGTATTAAAGACGAAAATCAAAAAGTGTTTTTTTATAGAAAATTCAGCATAGGTTGGTGAGATATGTTGATATTCCTTTCAATGAAGCTTTTGAAAATATGATCGACCTTAGTAATCTTAATATCATTAATAATAATAAAACTTTTATTTTTAATGTCGCATTAATAAAAAGTTGAAGAGGCATTAAGGAAAACTAATAGTGAAAAATTGGCAGGATCTGATGATATCGTAATAGAGGTGTGGAAAATTATTTAGGAGATTTAGGAGTTTATTGGCTTACTAAACTTTTTAATTTAATTTTAAAAACTAAAAAGATGTTTGAGTGGAAGAAAAGTATTTTGGTCACCATTTTTAAGAATAAAGAGGATGCACAAGAGTGTGCAAACTATAGAGGAATTAAGTTAATATTTCATACATTAAAATTATGAGAGAGTAATTGAATATAAGTTACAACATGATACAAAGATTTCTCATAATCAGTTTGAATTTATGTCAGGCAAGTCTACTATGGAAGCTATACATTTATTAAGAGATTTGATGGAAAAGTACAGAGAGAGTAAAGAGGACCCACATATGAATTTTATTGATTTAGAAAATGCTTACGATAAGATTCCAAGAGAAGTTCTATAGAGAGTTCTAGAAAAGAAAGGTGTTGATGTGACTTATATTCAAGTCATTAAAGATACGCATACTAGAGTTGTTACTTGTGCTTGAACAGAAGAAGAATTGACCATATATTTTCTATTTCAGTTGGATTACATCAATGATCGGCTTTAAGCACATATCTTTTTGCTTAGTTTTGGATGCTCTTACTAGACATATACAGGAGGATGTACCTTGGTGTATGCTTTTCGCTGATGATATCCTTCTTGTGGATAAGACTAGATAAAGAGGTCGAGAAAAACATGTATTATGGAGGTCTGCATTAGAGTCTACAGGCCTTGGTTTGAGTAGATCTAAAACTAGATATATGAAATGCAGTTTTAGCAGTAGTAGATCTAGTAGTAGAGTTGTAACAATGGGTGATCAAATCATTAAACTGTGTGAATATTTTAGATACCTCGGGTCCATTTTTCAAAGTGATAGTGATATATATGGGGTGTTATTAGTAGAATTCAAGCAAGTTGTTCAAGTTGGATGGTTGAAGTGGAGAAATGCATCGGGCCTATTGTGTGATCAAAAAGTACCGCTTAGACTTGAAGGAAAATTTTATAAGATGGTGGTGAGACCTACAATGCTTTATGGCGCATAATGTTGGCCTTTAAAGGAGAAGCATAAAATCAAGTTAAGTGTTTCTTAGGTGGATGAGTGGTCTGACACTTAAGAAACAAAATGTGAAATGAAAGTATCCGTGAAAGGGTTGTTCTGGCTACTATGGTACGCAACATTAGAGAGAGTCGTCTTAGATGATTTGGTCATATTAAACGTCAACCATCTGATGATCTGTTATGAGAGTAGATGTTTTATATTCAACTTATGTTAAAAAAGGTAGAGGTAGGCCTAAAAAGACTTGGGCATGTCGTATAAAAAATAATTTTAATTTATTAGAAATACATGAAAATATGACACTCAAAAGGACACAATGGAGAAAAATGATTCATGTAGTTGACCCCGCGTAGTGGGATAAAGGTTTGTTGTTGTAGTAGTTGTTGACTACATAATTAAATCTTAATATTTTAAAGTGCATGATATTTCTAACATAAGCCATCAAATAAGCCAAAAAACCAAGTCAAGTTGGCTCAAACACGGCTACTTGATTTATCAAGCTTGAATTACAAGTCATTTATCAAACCAAACTCTAGCCAACCCATGAGTTAGCTTGGTTTAGTTACGGTCTGGTTACCAGGGCATAAGTTCAATTTACGAAAATGTTATCCTTATGATGTAAAAACAAAAATGTATGTATCAACCTCTCTTTCGACCTTGCATTAGCGGAAACTTCATCCATATATACATTTAAGTTAGATATGTGTAATAAAGGTTAGAATATGCATTCATATGAGCGTACAAATAATTAACTTGGAACAACCACAGAAAAAAAATGGTAGATCAAAGTAATATGAATAAAGTGTTGCAATGAAATTATTTCAGAAGAAATTTAACAACTTAAGCAACACTAACCATAAATGTATGGAAAATGAGGGTTCATCTCTTCAGATAAAAATAATAAAAACACTAATAATGTCCAGGAAGTTTTGGCAAAAAATAATGCCGCTAAGGAGACTGAAGGGTATATTGGTCATTTTATGTATGAAATATTGCTTCTAAAATTCATTTATTCGGAAGTCTCGGCCTTTCTATTGTCTCAAAGGATCCCATATTTCTATAATGGACAATCATTAGCTCATAATCCCATATAAAAGCTTAGCAAATTGATGTATTAATGGCATAATATGATCATAAATAATAATAAAATAATAAGTTTAGCAGCTTGATGTGCACTGAGCTCAAACATTCTTCACTAATTGAAATAACTTAGCGCTTACCGTCCAGTCTACTATATAGCATCCCATCCCCGACAATTTAAAGCGGAAAAAAGCGCCATCTTTCTCTCATAGTGTGAGCATACAGATACTAGGGCCAAAAGGGGCAGTATTCTTCTTTGGGGGGGCATTTACATACATACCACCCAATTCCTATGTATTTACATATCTAACATCCACACTTTCTTTTTACATTTACACCACCCAAATCTTTCATATCACATAAAAAGTACCACTATTTTAAGCTTTAAAAAAGAGAAATACACCTTTCATATATAGGTAAGGCAGCATATATGTAAAAATTAAACTTTAGAAGTTAGATATGTAAATAAATAGGAATTGAGTGCTATGTATGTAAATCTTTCTTTTTTTATTGCAAGAATACAACGACCTATAATGGACATGCATCCAAGTATTTTTAGAAAATATTGGGCTCATAGTTAAAGAGAAAAGTTAAGCAAATTGTTTCAAGCAGAACTTAAACATTCTTCCCTAACTAAAATAACCTAGTACGAAGATTCATAGTTCAAGTATATAGCATCCTATTCCTAACGATGTAAAAGCTGAAATTAGAGCCAACTTACTCTTAAAAAGTGTGCATGCAAAGACTACCAAAGGGGTGGTAGTTTCTTTAAGCTTAAGTCACAAATCTAGGAATATTCATAGTATAATCTTCTTTCAAGTTATTAAAAGAGCATTTTTTGTGTTTCAGCAAAGAAGATAACGAACAAGAATAATTTGAATAACAGCAGCACTTGGACATACCGCAACAAGTTTCCCACTGTTTTCTGGTTTTTTTGCCACCTTCATAGCAGCTGCTGCTGCAGCCCCAGAGGAAATTCCAACCTACAATAGGCATATCTGTCAAACAAGCATAAAACTGAAAGCTATGTCTTAAGAAGTATTTTGAGGTTCTACATGCTACAAGTTATATCCAAGTTATATCTGGATCTTTACCACAAAAAAAAAAAAAGTTTTGTGACTCCATCTATATGACCTCTTTAAGATTTGTTGTGTTTGTAAATGAATCATTCGCTTATTCTGATAAAGTTCAAAAAACTACTAATGTAAATGATATTTATAGTTCCGTTGTTTAGCTACTTTAATAAACAACATGACCAATATTACAAATTATCTTAAGAAGGAAAATTATAGTAGATTAGAGCTGTTGATTATGTTTTTGTTTTTACTTCAATCAAAGAGAGACTTAACAATGCACTCATACCTACATCGCTTGATTCTAATAGTGTTTGGCTTGTTATGAAAATGTTGAGCCACAGACATCCAATTGAATTATTTAGTGAGAAGTTAAATAAAGAAAAAAAAATAATGTTCCAACTAAAATGAAGAATTTAACATTATGGTGCAAGCTCTTCAATATTGAAGATATTATCTATTATCTAACGAGTTTGTATTATACTCTAACCACCAAACTATCAAATATCTGAGTAATCAAAAGAAGCTAGGCCAGGCATGGCAAGTGAGTTGAATTTCTACAAGAATAACTTGTCCTAAACACTATGCTATAACTGAAAATAAACTGATTGATCCTTCAAAAAAAGTTTTCAACTTTTCTATCCTTTTATAAGTTGAAGTATAAACTTATAAAGATGTTTAGGAAATTTATCACAGCATAAATAATGACTTATCATTGTTTTAATAAAAGCTACACTATTTCGTACGCCTCCTATTCTTTTCCAAATGTCGTCAACCTTCCATATCCTCATTCCCTTTGCTCATAATCTCATTCCCTGGCTATTCCACAACCACCTCCCCACTAAATCCACTGCCTAAACACCTATTAAGAACCCTAGAATGACATTATTTGATATTAGAGCCTGACAAAACCCTCTCAAGCAAAAATTCCTCCATAACCTAACCCATAACCTAACCTAATATCTCCATATATCTCCATAAAAAAAAAAACCCTGCATCACCCACCTAGCCTTCACCCTAGACTACCATTTCCTTTTTAGCCAAAATTTTAGTTGGAGATTGAAACGCCATGGTGCTAAGGAGGAATCACAAGGTGTTTAAAAGCTTATGAAAGACATGTAATGAAAAATCCTCCAATTACAACAATAGCTTGTCGGATTTGAGAGGAGACAACCCATAGAGGTTGCCTATAGCCACAATAGTGAATCACCAAATCGAGATGAGGAATTGAATCTCTTTCATCAAGAAGTTTACAATGATAAAGAACCAATACCTTGATGAAGAGAACTTTGGAGTGAAAACTGACTAAGCAAAATTTAACGGATATTTAGATTCGGATGAATTCATTCATTTACTCCAAAAAATTGAACGAATTTTTATTACAAAGATGTTCCCAAAAATAAACTAGTAAAATTGGCGGTCATCAAGCTCAAGAAAAATTGTTTTCTTGTGAGAGGATAACCTGCAAAGTCTTCTACAACCGGAGTGGGAAATATTTTTTTTCTTCTTAAGTATGGGACAACAGCCGAATTTGGCAAGAATTTTGGCGGCGAATCAACATGTATAGGCCCAACAAAAACTTTACTAGAAATAGTATTGCATTTTGATCTTTTTTTAAGGATTGGTTTATTAAAAAGATAAGATATGTGTGAATCAACATGTAAATTTTGATTCTAGTATGGCTTAATTTATGAGCCATCTTCAATTTGTTGTTGATGCCTCAAATTTTGGGACAATAGCTCACACGCAAAACATGGATAATATGGGTGTCCTCCCTATGTATTTTTTAAGTTTCAGGCAAACTTAAACTGTATTTTGTAAATGAGCGTCGTTTTAGCAATTTTGGTGATGTTCAAGGTAACTCGAGCCTGATCAACGCGAAATTGTGTCTGCACCTCATTATTTTCATCATGCTCTATCGAATTGACAATTAAAAGAGCATTTTTGTATATTTTTGATGCTCTGCATCGGTGCAATTTGTTTTACGATTGCACATCGTCTAAGCAATTTCAATGGATATCGAGGGGATTTGAATCCAAATTGAGCATGTCGCATTAGATAATTTTAACACTTTGGACGCACTCGCACGTTTCTATTGTTAACGGCCATCATTTTGGCAGTTCAACGACAATGAAAGTGATTTGGACTTGATCTGCACATTGTTATATCAATTGCTTGTTGTCTTCAAAGTGATATTTCATGTGACTTCAACCATGATTGAGGCACCCGACCTCGACTTATGCGACATCACATATAACATTCATTTTCAACAATATGTTCAATAATGTCAAACCTTAAAACTTGTATATAGGTCAACAGTTTTTTAGCTGTAATGGAAACCCATACTCCTCAGTTCAATTATAAGAACCCTTCAGAAGGAGTCAACAAGTAAATGACTTGGAAAGAGAAAAATTCCTGGAGCAATTTTGTTCAACCTCTTTAAACAAACGACAGTATTTGTTTTTCTTCTATTTCCCCTTACATCGGTAAGAATATACTTGCCATGACCCACAAATGTAGTGGCCTCCATGGATAAAAGCTACAAAGCAACTTGAAAAAAGCTTTCTGATGCCAACAGCAGTAGTATGGAGTATCCTTAGAATGATATTTCAGACGACTTGACATTTGTACTAACAGTGCATCTCATAATCATCATCAAACTTGCTCCAACAACCAGAGAAATCTCGAGTATTATGATACATAAATGAGGCCAATAGAAAGTGTGATTATAGGTTAACAAGGTATCTCAAGCACAAAGACAATAAAGAGATAATATCAATGCTTACATTGCACAACACAGTTTAGGGTAGTAGATAACAAAAAGTCAATCCCAAGAGAAAGGTTTTACACTAGCTTCAAATTTTTAGCCTTTTTAACGACAAAAACAGTGCATTGTAATCTCGCAAGTATAAAAATAGTCAACCTCCAAGATGAATAAACAGCATGAACCACAATACGAAGAGGTATAATACACTATAGATTCTTCCATTACATATACCAATAAATGATTAAAAAAAAATAAGGATGGCAGCTACAAAATCAATTCAAAAAGACAGTGGAGAAACTAACCAATAATCCTTCCTGGAGAGCCAATTGCTTTGCTGTTTCAACTGCCTCATCACTAGAGATCTGAAATGAAAACCATAATAATTAACATCAAAACCTATAAAAAAATTCTAAGCAAGAAAGAAAAAAAGAACCGTAAAAAATATCCCTAGTCTGTAAAAGCCGTGACCAAGATTCAGGGATCAAAAGTTTAATTTCAAGATAATAACATTAAATAAGACATTTCATTCAAAGTAAATTGAGGATGAAAGGGAAGATGGTGCGGAGTTCAAATTTATTGTAGATGGAGGCACATAGATACAGCATGTTCAGGAGGCAACTTATCTTCATCCCTTAGTTTTAATCAATGAAACAAGCCAGTAGTGCAATAGTGATAAGATAACAGAATTAGAAGTATCAATATAACAATGAAGTTACTAAGAGAGAAAGTTGCAGTGCAATTCTAAGAGATTGTATACTGCGATTAACACATGTTATTCCTATTGTTTCACTATTCACAAGTGAACAATAACGAGAGAATACTATGTTTTGGGGTTAGTATGGTATCTTGCTCGTTATGGTTTTCCAATTGTCTTGCCTAGATAAAAAAGCCTCTTATGTAAACGAACCATAAAATTTGACACATAGGATAAATAATTGAGGTTTTCCACCCCATTCATAAAGATGCCGATTAAATTTTAATTTCAACTCAGGATTCCCCAAATGAAACCATGAATACGGTCAACTTATCGATCCTTTCTCTCTATTTCTTTTTAACTTTCAATTGGCGTCTTGTTTATTCATTGTTCAAAACTTTTTAACCTTGAAATAGTGTCTTGTTTATTCTTTGTCCATCACTAGTTTCATGACGATGTTATATTAGAACCCATTCTCTCGTGCTTCATCTAAATCTTTACAAAAAAAGCTGGTTTTGTCTGTTGCAGCTTATCTCAAGGCTAGAGATGATCTACACTGACCTTCTTGGTAAAAACATTTGTCCTCTTGCATTTTGTAGCTTTCATATGTCCATATGGGTATGTAAGGATCTTTTCCATAGACTCATTTATGTTCATAATTTAAATCATCTAAGGCATCATATAATCCATCAAATAGAACTCAGAAATTTTAAAAAATTACTTTTTAGGGTTGCAAGTCAACCTTCATCCATCTAATGCAATCCCTTATAATCTTAGCGATATATTTGAGAATCTCCGAACCAAGATGATGATGAATGACCATTATATTTTTCTTTCCCAAATCCTTGTTGACCTACAGTTCATTGCAAACATCAAAAGAGTGTAGAAACTTCTAAACCTACGGAAGCTAAAAGTTGGGAAAAACCATAAAAAATTTTCATTGTTCACAAAGAAAAGGACTAAATTTAAAGCCAATTCAGAGCAGCATTTTCACAACTTAGCTTTAGAAATAGCTAACACAATTTTGTTTGGTTTTTTGTGGCGATGAACACCTTTTACAACTAGATTTGCTAAAGTGTGGTTGCCACAGTTAATGCCCATATTTCAAAAAGGAAAAAAAAAACTATATTACCCACAGCAATTAAAAAAAAAATCTCATAACAATCATACAATTATTTTGTAGACATCTTTACAACTTTTATAAATAGCAAGAATCACCCCAAACGGACCCATGGAATTCATTGTATGTGAAAAGTAGGTTTTTTTTTTCTTTTTTTTTTATGCGAAGAGTAGGTTAAGGACGATGAATCCCTCACTTGTCCAAAACTTATTATTGAACGTGATTTTGTGTTGATTGGTGAGCATATAACAGCCCATGCGTACAATATAACTTCTTTATTTTTTTAGTAATTAAAGGGGCCCATATATGTATTGATTGATGGCCAACACATTAGATCGCTTGCGAGAGATGTTCTTTTAAGAAATTTCTAGTAGCCTTTTATAACATAAGTCACACGGTTTCTTCATTCAATGTTAGATTTTGTATATCAAATGAACCCAAGCATTAGTAATTGAAAAGCGCTGTCAAAACCAAATTAGATTGAATGTGGTGAAATGCAATTTTTACAATAAAATCTGCTAGAGTGTGATAGTTAAAAAAAAAATTTTAATGTCTGATACTTTCAAAAAGGAGGAAAAACTATAATACCAACATAAACTTCTAACAAAATATTTTTTCTCATAATAATTTTACAACAACTTTTAGAAACAGTTGCAATCACACCAAATAGACTTTCTAAACTCATTGTCCATAAAGAGCAGGGTATGAACAATAAACCCCCTAATGGTTCAATTATTATTAGTACTGATTTTGCATTGATTAATGGACAATAAGCAACCTATGTATTGGATATAACTTCTTTGTTCAAGTAATTAATGAGCCCAAAACATGCATTGACTAGTAGCCAAAGAAACCGCCAATGCATTGGATAGCTTGCAAGAGACTTTTTTTAGAAATTTGTTAGTAGGCTTTTAAAAAAAATAGGTCACATAGGTTCTTAATTCAATATTCAAAAATTTAGGAGCCAAACAAACCCATCATAGCATGACTAAGCAGGCAAGAAGTACTTATTAATTAAAGCACTATTCTCTCTAAACCTTGCATTCAGAGCTTGTGGGCATATTAAAAGATGACTGGCACTTTAAGAGAAGAAAGACTCTTAAGTTTAATGTATAGTTGTATACTCAATAAACATTGCGAGTAATATTGTATGCAGAAATCGAATGGACACATTTAAAATTTGGTGTTTATAGCACTATTGGTGTTCAGACATTGGCATAATTTTATAATGTGCATCATGCGTACATAAAGCCAAGAAAAAGACCGCCATATCATCACCTCTCTTCTCAAGTCGCACAACATACAAAAATGGCGCTAGACTTACTTTCTTCTTGCTATGACTACAGGGATGATGGCAAAACTAGTTCACTCTCTGATGAACAAAAAAATGTTTTAAGCTTCCCCACAATGTCAAATTGATCAAGCATTTGTGTCAACCTCTCCCAATGACAACTCAAGAGCCATCATTGAGGCATCAGTCTGATATATTTATTGGCAAGTAAGAAAACTCCCTTGGAGCTTGAATCATAGATCAAGGGAGGAAAAACTTTAGTCCGATCAAAGATCAACGATTATAGGAATGATCTTCATCTTGGCTGAATAAAAGGTGTTCCCAGGCCTTCACATTAACCAAATAAAATTCAAAGGTTATTCAAAGATTTACCTACATTCCTTCAAACTATTCAAAAAAAAATTATTTAATTCTTCTTTTATTTATTTGTTTGCATATCCCTCTATTATTTAAGAAGATGACAAAACAATGTAGTCAACCTAGGCAACGGTGTTCCCAGGCCTTCACATTCTAGGCAATCCTCATTATTGACACATCTTGCTTATCCAACCTTAATGCTCCCCAAGTGCAAGAGTTTTCTATACAATGGTTAATTTATTGTGTCAATAATGAGGATTCTAATGTGATCTTATAAAAATTTTTAGCCAAACAATGATAGAGATAATGCCTCGCTTAGTGTACGTGAGAGAAGGCATATCACCTTGCTATTGAGATGGAGGTTCACTCAAATGCTTCCTACTGTAGGAACTTTAGTTAACATGTCAAATATGAAATCTCTTGTAGAGATTTGACTAAGGCAGCAATCCTTCCTAAGTTAAGGATATCAGATTAAGTCTATTGCTAAACAATGTAATTCTAAAGAGGTTTTACAAGCTGGCGCCTGCTCTAACTACAACAAAATAAAAATAAAAAAGACAAATTTTGCATGTCTAACCATCTCTGCCTTGTCTAGCACGCAATTAGATTACTTTCTTTCATCTCTGATTTTGTGAGAGATTTCTTCAACTCACACTTTCAACTCCTTACTTTCCAATCTCTATGAATGCAGTCACCATTCTTCAAGTGTAATCCTCTTTTATCAAAGCATTTTCTCTCAACAAGTGTCAGCTCTTCAGCAATTTATTCTTCAAGTGATGATGCTAACCTATCTTGCTTTAAATGCAAGAAACAAGGTCATATAATTGTCAGCTATCCCTTTCAAAATACACTTAACACGATAAGAGTAAAAAAGAAGTCAAAAAGTTTCAACATAAAATTGGGGCAAAAGTAGGCGAGGCCTACTAGGCTTTGGCAGGTATTTAGTAGAATATGAGGTTTTACTTCCAAGCCACACCCATAGAGTTAAACCACTATTGCCACGGCAATTTCAAAAAAAAGAACCAATCTGATGATTATTTACGTAGATCCATCATTTCTACACTCATAGTTTGCCTTTGATATATCTGTCACTGTTTCATAAATCCATGCATTTTTCAATCTGTATATCATTTATAGGCATCATAAGCACCATCAACTAACCTATAGAAACCAAATCGTTGTTCTAGGATTGTTGGCTGCATAGTAGTGATCACTGATCTGAGTTGGTAGCATTTGTGCTTTCAACCCATCAGTTTACATAGGTCAGACCACTTTAGAGTATACGTAAAGTACTTTCAAATAAAGCCATAATTTATTTAAAATCCATTGAAGAAGTCAAATTGGGGAGATTGCAAGTTGTTTTCCAAATATAGTAGATAATACAAACATCGACCTCTTAATGCATTAATCCATCACAACTTCTAACTTGAAGAAATAGAACCGAAGCCTAATGTCACGGCTTCTAAAGCAGACGTACTCATTCCATTTGGACAAATATGGTAACAATATTAACTTTTTATCATGTACACGCCTAACAAAACCTCCACAATACAACCAAACACATCCAACAGTTATTATCAATTGTATAATAATAAGTTCAGATTCCTAAATGTATTAATATTCATTCCCATCCCAGTTTCTTCTCAACTTCAACTCAGAGATAAGCACATTAATGTACAACACATGGATTAAAATGATAAAAGAAACAAAATCAGGACCCAAACCTCTAAAATTTCATCAACTACGTCAAGGTCTAAAATACCGGGAACAAATCCTGCTCCGATGCCCTGTATCTTGTGTGGACCTGAATGATTCAAATGAAGTGAGAATTAAGAAAGTACATGGAAAACAAATACGCCAAAAGGAGTGTTAGTTTTCCAGCTAATACCTGGCTTCCCGCCTGACAGTATGTTGCTTTCAGCAGGCTCAATGCCAATAACCTAACAAATAAGAATGTCAGAAAGAAATTATATGATATTAGAATAGACTTTTGCAAGCATAATTAATACCTTTATATTAGGGTTTTGGTTCTTCAAGAACCGTCCAACACCAGAAATAGTTCCACCGGTTCCAATTCCAGCAACAAATATATCAACCTTGCCATTTGTATCTTCCCAGATTTCAGGACCTGTGGTCTCATAATGTATCTGCAAGTACGACAAGAAGAAATTTCACACAATAAGAAGAAACATCGCAAAGGATTCAGTTGGCGCTGGCTTCATAATACCTTTGGATTTGCGGGGTTATCAAATTGTTGGAGCATATAAGAGTTGGGTGTTTTCTTCAAAATCTCTTCAGCCTTTTGAACAGCTCCCTTCATGCCCTTGGCAGCATCTGTAAGAACAAGTTCTGCTCCAAAAGCTTTAAACAAAACTCGCCTTTCCATGCTCATGGATGAAGGCATTGTTAAAATCAATTTGTATCCTTTAGATGCTGCAATGAAGGCAAGACCAATGCCAGTGTTCCCACTTGTTGGCTCCACTAATATGCTCTAGACAAAATATGGCTGTCAGTTTTACACTGAACGAGTAAAAATAAGCAAAAACAAATGAAGAAAACCATATTACTGCAGAGAAGAAAAACTGGATATCTGACTTTACTAATTGAAAGAAAGCTAATCTTCCGCTTTCTTATCTTGGTTTCAAATTAAACAAAGGAATGAAAAGGAATGCTAATTGTTTGTGGTTATTGGATAAGATCAAGAGTAAAATTTTGTCTTGGAAAAATAAATTTCTCCCCTTTGGGGGGAGAATTACTATTCTGAAAAGTATCATTTGCTCCTTGCCGATTTATTCCTTACAGGTTATGAATATGCCTATGGGTATTATGAAAAAGCTGGAAGGTCTTTTTAATATTTTTTTATGGGATGGCATAGGTAAGGCACATATTCACTGGAAGAGTTGGAAGAAGCTTTGTAAACCTCTTGATAAAGGGGGGTTGGGGTTCAGGAGTCTTGCTGACTCCATTAAGGTCAATTTTATGAAATTATGCTTTCATTTTCGTAAAAACAGCTCTTTGTGGGCAAATTTAATGCATGCTAAGTATTGTCTTACTAGCCATCCTTTAGTTATCACTCCTTCCAGATCGGATTCTTTTATTTGGAAAGAAATGATGATGGTGGCTCAGCATACTGAGAGTCTTATCTGTTGGGATGTAGGTTCAGGTCAGTGCTCCTTTTGCTTTGATGATTGGTTAGGGAATGGTGCCTTGGTGGATCATTATGGTGGTCCTTTTGACATTCGTATCAGAATTCAAGATTTTCGGGATAATGGTACATGGTTGTTTGATAGGCTGGCTCAATTCGTTCATATAAATTATGCTAAATTTATCTCTTCTCTGTCTATTTCTGCTTCCAGTAATCTTCCTGATATTCCTGTTATTAAGAGGAGTGGGGATTCAATATCTAAATGCCTTGCCAATTCTATTCATAATTTTCAGGGTTCGAATCTTGAATGGATTTGGAATCCTTGGTTAAAACCTTCGATGTTTTTGTTTATTTGGAGGGTTTTCAATAACATCATTCCTACGGATGATATCCTTAAGTTGAAAGGTTTATGGTTACCTTCTTGCTGCATTTTATGTAAGAATAAAGAGGAGTCTATTGATCACATTTTTGGCAACTGCAACTTTATAGTTGAAGTTGGAAATAAGGTTATTGAACAACTTCTTAGTTTTTGAATGTCCAATTCTTATAACTCCTTAGATGATATGTTAAGAGCTTGGAGGAATTTGGGGAAAATATTTTTTACCAATGTCCTTGTTATTCTTATGTGGTTTATTTGAATCACGCGGAATAATGCTCTCTTTAACAATGTATCCCCTAATGTTTCTAACACTGTAGGGCTGATCTTAGGTTATCTAAGTAATAGTCTTACAATTAGAAAATGGAAAGGAGATAATATGGAGAAATTGACGAGGAGGTTTCATAAAGATTTTATGCCTATTTTGGTAAGGGGTTGTCCGAAGGTGGGTTGGAGTAAACCTTGTGCACCTTACTTTAAAATAAATACAGATGGTTGCTGGAAAACTAATTATGCTAGTATTGGTGGAGTTTGCCGTGATTTTTGTGGTTCATTGGTTTGTTGGTTTGTTGCGAAGGCTATGTCATCTTCTCCCTTAACTGCGGAGGTTGATGCAGCTATATTTGGTCTTATGTTAACAAGGAAACTACGGCTAACTAATATTATTATTGAGGTTGATTCTCTAATTCTCTGAAAATGTTGCAGGTTAGCTTTGGAACCACATTGGAATATTTTATTGCATTTAAAGAAGATTGAAGCATTAACTATTGGTTTGAATGTAATCTGGTCTCATGGTTTTCGTGGAGGTAATTTCGTGGCTCATTGGACAGCTAAATGTGGCTTAAAATTGTCTTCTGCGCAGATTTTTTACCATTTTCCTGATGATTTGTTGGTCTTAGCTATGAAAGATTTGATGTGATTGTTGTTTTGTGTCCTTTCTGTGGTAGTTGAGTGTGTGAGTTGTATTTTTTCTTTTTTTGGAAAGATGTCCTATTTTTCCTTTATTTTTTTGGTGATTGTAGGGTTTGTGTGTTTGGACCTCTTTCCCGGTTTTGAATTTTTTTCTTATAGAATAAAATGAGAGCTGAATAATGCTCTTTTACGAGAAAAAAAACCCATATTTAAGCACCACAATAAGATATGAATAATAATACTTATGACTCGTTATCATCATCAACTTCATCACAAATATTTGAGGTCGGTATTATAAATACTTAATCTCATTCATTTCTATTGAAAATATTACTATGATAAGTTCCTTAATTATTGTAACTAGTCAACAAATTGAAAGAAACAAAAAGAAGATAAAAGTAATGAAAAGGATGGGTCGCACCATTTACGATCGTTACTATGAATACTCATTTTTCATTTGTTTATGTTGAAAACACCACTATAAACATTTTCTCAATGATTGCAACTCTACATAGTCAGCAGATACTATAAGCATTTTCTTAATCATTGTAACTATACATAATCAATAGATAGATGGATAAAAAGGAGAAAAGAAAGTTAAGCAAAGAGATGGGTCACAGCATTAGAAGAGAAAGAGTACAAAAAGTTAATTAAAGAGAGAAGGAAGACTCTGAGAGAAAAAGATAAAGAGAGAGAGAAACTAAAGGGATAAAGCAAGGTAGAACAAGAACGAAGAAGAAGAAGAAGAAAGACCAGTTAAGAACTGCATGTGTGTGGGTGTGTGAGAGAGAGAGAGAGAGAGATTGGGAGAGCAAATTAGATCACCTTGAAGATATAGAAGAGAAATCCAATGAAAGTCTATTCATGGCAACAGGAAAATGTCCCAACTGTGCTGCAGCTTTTGAATGAGAAGAATAACCTAAAAGATAAATTGCATAACCCTAGCATCTGAATTGCTGGATTGAAAGCAAATATGTGCTGGAGCGGTACTTTGGGCCTCTATGTAACTCTACCAGTCTTTCATATCATAAGTAAGAGAAAACAACTGTTAAAAAAAGAGAAAATATGCTTAGAGCAAATTCAACCACTATTAAATTACCTTTCCAGGTGTTATAAGCCCCTTTTGTTCAGCATCAGCTATCATACTGTGACCAATCCTGCAGCGGAAGTAAACAGCACACCTGTGTTGTTAAGATATGTTTTCATTCCGAAAAAATCAAACATAGTAATGAAGCCTTGCCTGTCCTTCACACTGCAGCATGGCTCCATAATCTCAAGCTTAGCAGCAATATTCGCTACACATCCTTTTACAATATTATTAAGGTACACCATAGGTGTTTTCCCAATAAGCTGCAAGAAATAATTACTGTGAGGAAAGAAAAGTGTTAAAGAAAACATTCACAATAAAAAATGGAAACCGTATCTCAAACTAGGGCTATCATAGGCATAGATGTAAGATTCACTATTAAAAATGCTGTGCTAAGCACGACAAAAAATCCAGTTCAATAGCTACATATAACCGCATGCAAGCAATCATATTAGAGAAGAGCTTTTGTTGGTTTTGAGAATGGTCCATTCTAATCCACATTTTAAGAGTCTCTGATAAGAAAGACAAGCCCGGATCCTATGCAGAATTCCTCAATCTAAACTAGAGAAAATTTTAATAAAAGCTCTGCCAAATTCAAGAAAGCATAAGAAAAAAGATCTACTAAAATGCAAGAAAAAACATAGCAACTTGAAGGATTAAACTCCCAAAGGAACCTTTTAGTAGTATGGAGATCATGAGAGGAATCATAAAAACAAGATTGTCAAAACTCATTCAATATGTTGTGTTTTTGTGCAGCGTATCTTGCATGGGATTTCAAAAAGAGTTGCAAAGGATTCAATACGCCCAAATTATTACCAGCCAAAATCAACTAGGTGAGATTCTACATCCGATAAGAAAGACAAGCTCGGATCCTTTGCAGGTTTCCGGAATCTAAACTATAGAAAATTTTATTAAAAGCTCTACCAAATTCAAGAAAGCATAAGAGAAAAGATCTACTAAAATGCAAAAAAAACATAGCAATTTGAAGGATTAAACTCCCAAAGGAACCTTTTAGTAGTATGGAGATCATGAGAGGAATCATAAAAACAAGATTGACGAAACTTATTCAATATGTTGTGTTTTTGTGCAGCGTATCTTGCATGGGATTTCAAGAAGAGTTGCAAAGGATCCAATACGCCCAAATTATTACCCGCCAAAATCAACTAGTTGAGATTTTACATCTGAAAGACAAGCCCGGATTCTTTGCAGGTTTCTTGAATCTAAACTATAGAAAATTTTAGTAAAAGCTCTGCCAAATTCAAGAAAGCATAAGAGAAAAGATCTACTAAAATGCAAGAAAAAACATAGCAACTTGAAGGATTAAACTCCCAAAGGAACCTTTTAGTAGTATGGAGATCATGAGAGGAATCATAAAAACAAGATTGTCAAAACTCATTCAATATGTTGTGTTTTTGTGCATCGTATCTTGCATGGGATTTCAAAAAGAGTTGCAAAGGATTCAATACGCCCAAATTATTACCAGCCAAAATCAACTAGGTGAGATTCTACATCCGATAAGAAAGACAAGCTCGGATCCTTTGCAGGTTTCCGGAATCTAAACTATAGAAAATTTTATTAAAAGCTCTACCAAATTCAAGAAAGCATAAGAGAAAAGATCTACTAAAATGCAAAAAAAACATAGCAATTTGAAGGATTAAACTCCCAAAGGAACCTTTTAGTAGTATGGAGATCATGAGAGGAATCATAAAAACAAGATTGACGAAACTTATTCAATATGTTGTGTTTTTGTGCAGCGTATCTTGCATGGGATTTCAAGAAGAGTTGCAAAGGATCCAATACGCCCAAATTATTACCCGCCAAAATCAACTAGTTGAGATTTTACATCTGAAAGACAAGCCCGGATTCTTTGCAGGTTTCTTGAATCTAAACTATAGAAAATTTTAGTAAAAGCTCTGCCAAATTCAAGAAAGCATAAGAGAAAAGATCTACTAAAATGCAAGAAAAAACATAGCAACTTGAAGGATTAAACTCCCAAAGGAACCTTTTAGTAGTATGGAGATCATGAGAGGAATCATAAAGACAAGATTGTCGAAACTTATTCAATATGTTGTGTTTTTGTGCAGCGTATCTTGCATGGGATTTCAAAAAGAGTTGCAAAGGATCCAATACGCCCAAATTATTACCAGCCAAAATCAACTAGGTGAGATTCTACATAAGGATCTAAGAACTTTGATCAACCTTATCAAATTGTGTGAAGCACTCGGACACTTAAGTATTGTCCCAAATGAGGATGCTTAAAGCCCTCTACAATTATAAGGCACTTCCTTGTCTTGCAAGCAAGAATAAGATTTTGCGAGTAAGATATACCCACTCAGATAGAGTATCTTGGAGCTCATGAAAAGCCCTTTATTTGGCTACATTTTGGATGTTATGAACCATGTATGATTCATTAATTAGCTATAATATTCAATAACAACTAGTTAATTCATAATTGAACCTACTTATTGCATTATTTAGCCAGATTAATGGTTAATTAGAAACCTAACAATTTGCTAGTTAACCCAATAGAAGCATGATTACTAATGAATTAAAGAAGCCAAATAATTTCCTTATTGTTGGGTCCTATTTTGTTCATGGTTCACACCGGACCCTACTAACTCAAAAGAAAAAGTGAAGAACGGGAGGAAGGAGAGATACAAGTAGGAGAATTAGATCCACCTGAAAAGCCTCAAGAAACTACAATGATAGAGCAGAGGCTAGGAATAGTCAAGCCTTTGGCTCTCCCTAGGAACTTATAGACATGGATCTGCGGGCTTGAGCTTCATAGAAAATGCTACAGAATGTGCAATACATATAAAAAACAGTATAAAGAATAATAGAAGACTTGTAGCCTAAATCTCTCACTCAAACTATCAATCAATCTATGGGGGAGTCTTTAGGTCTCCCAATGGTGTAGGCCTTGTAGCCTCTATAGTTGTAGGCGGCCTCTCTAGTCTCGTGGGTCTGTCAAACTGCTACAAATGTCAAACTGCTAGAGGCTTGAAACCTTGAACTTGTTAGGTGGTTTCTCCCATATCCCAATTGGCATGTCCATCTCTAAGTTTTGCTAGCGGACTCCTACCCGAAATTTGGCTAAAGAATCCATGGTGAGCCTAATCCAGTGAGCTCGTTAAGTAGCATGTGTTTGAATCGCTCGTTAAATAAGCGAGCTGAACACGAACAATGTATTGTTTACCCGTGTTTGGCTCCTTTTAGTTTGAAATAAGAAAATTATATAAATTATCTATATAATAAAATATATTTATATCTAGGTTTACATCACCACAGCTCTGTGTGATTAAGTGGTTTTCTGTTTTTTATTGCATAAGAATGATGTTGGTTCGAATCGAACACTCTATATCTATTTTTCTAATCAAATTAAATGAGTCAATTTTAAGCCGAACAAAAACAATAATAAGTAAATCGAGTTGAATATGAGCACACTGTTCACGAGCAATTTTGAACACGAGTCAATTTCAAACTGAATTAATTTCAAACAAACTGAGCATGAGGTAGGCTTAAGCTCACTCAAGCTCGGCTCATTTATAGCCCTAATACCATCAAATTCGACTTGATTCTTTCTTGAGCGAGGACCATCTCTTTGATTTGCCCTGATTCATTGATCAATTGAGAGAATCCTGAGACTCGATCGATTAACTCATCAAGCTGGAAAGGATTGGGTAAGGCATCTATTGTCATTTATATGGGATAAAGGGGGCTCTTTCACTGCAGCTATTTTTGGGCATGTTGAGACTAACCTTCAAGACCTGCTTGAGTTCTGGACTTGAGTTATAGGCGAACTTGCACTTCTTCAACTTGACATGTTGAAGCTCACTAGCTCAAAATTCTCTCACTTGACTTCTAGGATTATGACAATTCTACGAGAGAAACCTATCTTTTGAAATTGCATTGAGTTTAACTTACTTAAAGACAATGACATTTATGTTCAATCACTTGAATGTAGCTTCAGCACTAATATATTAAACAATCAATTGGGGATCTCTCATTGAACATAATCTCAACCAAAAGATAAAATATTCAATATATTTGGGGATGTCACCTCAAAGCACAACGTTAACTCAAATAATATATGAGGAACATACGTGAGGAGCTTGGCTCAACGCTCAGTGTCACCCAAATAAAATAAGTGACCCCATGTCTAGCAGATAGAGAAACTTTAGAGCTAATTGAAAAGATTTGAGGATCTTAGGTTTATGCTTGATGCCAACCCAAATATGTAGAAAAATGTAAGGGATATTCTTATGATAACTTGAAAACGTATTTTTGTATCACAAGGCAGTTTCTAATAATGTACTGAACTCATGTTGAAATGAAGCATATTCTTCATTTCTTGGAGGAAACTTTGAAATAATTTTAATTTGCCTGTTGTGTACTGCTTCTTCAAAGATTGACTACTAATTAATGATATTGATCGTTGAGTGCAATGTTCAATGAGTTTATTGACTCTTATTTGTATGTCTTCTCAATGAGAGAAAGGTCTTCCAAATTATGTTCAAATTTCCTACCAACTTTTGATGAGAAGAATTAAATTAAGCTTGACGACTCCTTTGTTAAACCAATGCATGTCAACTTGAATTCCATAATCCCCTCACTTATGAGGATTAAAAATACATCTCTAATTGATTGTTTTGGATATATTAAGAAGTGAGGATGACCAAAGTCATTTCTCGTTGGCATAAATTTGATAAACCCTCCACCTGCGAGGTTGAAACTTACTGGCAATGGGATACCTTGACAAACTTTGCAAGGTATCAACCATCTTAAGACTCATTGATGGGGACCATCTTCTTACGGACCCACTCTTGATAGAATTTTGTTGACAGCGAATCTCTAAGAATACAGATTAGATGTCACACCTTCATCCTTTTCAACATAACATCCTTTTTAATGAAAACTCAATCTCCAAGTCTGTTTATCCCTCCATTGAGTCAACAACGAATTCTTGGAAACGCGGTCTAAGTGTCATGCTGCAATGTTCACCGTGCGGAATTTACTTGATAGTAGATGGAAGATAACAGCTTCCTACTTGGAGTTTTATTAGTCAATCAGTTATAACTTCTCTATATTAAGCCCTTTTATTTGGCAATTTTTAGGACTATGCACTCTTAAAGACAAATACTCAAGTTGCATCTTTTCAGCAGTAAGGTTTAATATTGTTCAGCTCAAAAAGATGGCCTACTCACCAGTAGTGTTATTCATTTTAACCCAATTCAGACTTTTGAATTAGTTATCGATAGAAATA